TCCAGGACTACCTGATTGCCTGGTTGCTGTGGCCACAAATGAGACACAGGCTTGGACATGTTTAGAATGTGTCATTCTGAGTACCACCTCTGGTTGATAGAGTTATTGAATTTTACTTTCTATTTCTACCTCCTGAATCTGCCTTGGCTGTTCTTGTCTCTCTTCCCATCGTCCCCAAATTCAGCTTTTCATGAAGCCTCATCCAGAGAGGGAGAGTGAAGGGTGAAAGCAATAGTCTGGGCTGTAATTGTTTTCCTTTGGTTCTTAGGATCCAGCTGGTGACAGTAGGGTCATGAGCACTGAAGACACCTACAGTGTTTAGGATAGAACCTCATTGTATCTGCACAGTAACGTCTCCTGCCTCTCCCTGCCCCCAGGTCTGTGTATGAAGATCTTGTGGCCAAAGGAGCCATTGTACCTGCTCAGGAAGTGCCACCTCCAACAGTGCCCATGGACTACTCTTGGGCCAGGGTAAGTGTCCTTGGTGTCCCTTGAAGGGCTAAGATAGATTTTTGGGTGTTTTTTTTTTTAATTGTTTTATGTACATTGGTGTTTTGCCTGCATGAATGTCTTTATGAGGATATTAGAGCCCCTGGAACAGGAGTTACGGACAGTTGTGAGCTGCCATGTGGGTGCTGGAAATTGAACCCAGGTCCTTTGGAAGAGCAGTCAGTGCTCTTAACCACTGAGCCACCTCTCCAGCCCAAGTTTTTTTTTTTTTAAGATTTATTTATTTATTGTGTAAACAATGTTGTCTGCATGTGTGTCTGCATTCCAGAAGAGAGCATCAGATCTCATTATTAATGGTTGAGAATCATCATGTGGTTGCTTGGAATTTAATTTAGGACCTCTGGAAGAGCAGCCAATGCTCTTAAACTCTGAGCCATCTCTTCAGCCTCTGTGTGTGTGTGTGTGTTTAAGATGTGATCTCCACAGTCCTAAAACTTGATATATATATATCAGAGATTGCCTGCCTCTGCCTTCTAGGTGTTGGGATAGAGGCTTGTGCCAACATTTCCAGCTCTAAGTCAGTGAACTTTAAGGTGATTTGGTTTGAGCTCCTGGAAACCAGCCCCCTTTCAAATTATTTAGAGCAATCATGCCAACCTTCTCCATCAGAGAAGCATCAGAAACTGATCCCATGCACTGTGTGCCTGAACTGTCCCCAGTTTTATTTCCAGGTCAGGTGACAGAATGGGCAACATGGCCTCACATGTGTTTTACCTGATATTGGATGGAGTCAGCTTCTAAGTGTTTTGGGCCAGCATTCAAGAGGGAGAGGCAGGAGGATCAAAGTTCATGGTCATCCTCTGGTTACATAGAGTTTTGAGACCATCCTAGGATACATGATATCCTGTCTCCAAAAAAAAAAAAAAATGTTAGTGCCTCACAGCCCATCAAACTTGTGTCTACAAAGCTACTTCTAAGAAATGCTTTCCTAGAACATACAAAGGAATGCATCTAAGAATTTTATCTAGAGATGTTTATCACTAGATGATGACATATTTTGAGGAGGCAACATATAGCAGTTAAGAGGATTAACTAGGTGGTCCATATATAGACATTAATAGAGCTCAGATAAGCTCAGATCCATTAAGTAAAAGGCACCTTATGGGCAGACTTGCGAAGTAGTCTTGGCAGTCCTGAAAATCTCTATGTAGACCCAGCTGGACTTGAAATCAGTGATCCACCTGCCTCTGCCTCCAGAGTGTTGGGATTAAAAGTGTGCACCACCATGCCTGGCCTCAACTTCTTTTGGTTTTACGAGACAGGTTTTCTCTGTGTATTCCAGCAGTCCTGAAACCCACTGTGTAGACCAGCTGGCCTTGAACTCAAGAGATCTGCCTGCCTCTGCCGGGATTAACGGTGTGCACCACCACACTTTGCCAGCCTCCACTGCTTGGAACAAGCAGTGTTTATTGCTGCTTGGCCCTTAGAGTGGCTAAGACATTCCTGGAACGTTTTTGTTCTGAGAGCACAGACAGCTATTTGTCTTGGGAAAAAAGTCTCTGATGGTCACCATAACCCTGTGTCTCTATCCTTGCTCAGGAGCTGGGTTTGATCCGAAAACCTGCCTCATTCATGACCAGCATCTGTGATGAGCGAGGACAGGAACTCATTTACGCAGGCATGCCCATCACCGAGGTCTTCAAGGAAGAGATGGGCATCGGTGGCGTCCTTGGCCTCCTCTGGTTCCAGAGAAGGTGAGGCACGATGGGCAGGGATGGTAGGGCACTGTCCTTCCTTGACACAGGAGGTAGGGTGGGCAGAGTGTCAGTGGTTATGTGGCCACAGACCAACTCTCTTAGTCAGGGTTTCTATGATTCGATGGAACACCATGAACAAAAAGCAAGTTGGAGAGGAAAGGGTTTATTTGGCTCATACTTCAGCATTGCTGTACATCACTGAAGGAAGTCAGGACAGGAACTCAAACAGGGCAGGATCTAGGAGGCAGGATCTGATGCAGAGGCCATGGAGGAGAGCTGCTTACTGACTGACTTGCTTCCCCTGGCTTGCTAAGCCCGCCTTCTTATAGAACTCAGGACCACCATTCCAGGAATGCACCACCAACTATGGGCTGGGCCCTCCCGCATTGGTCACTAATTAAAAGAATGCCTTCCTTATAGCAGGATCTCATGGAGGCATTTTCTCACCTGAGGCTCCTTCCTCTCTGATGACTCTAACTTGTGTCAAGTTGAAACACAAAACCACCCAGTACATCAAGTTAAGGACAGGGAGGTCATTTGTAAAACAAGAAAGGGAAAATGAGTGGCTTCAGGAGAGGCCTTGAGAACGTTTAAAGAAATGGGACAGTTACAGTGACCTCAAGGTCAGTCGGGAATCTGGACAGTTGTGACCTTAACTAGTGCACCTGGTAAATTTTCAGAGCAGCCTCTGACATGCTTACTTCCTCTTGGCAAATTTTTTGTCTCTCATCAGCCTGAATTATAGATGTTTGTGTTTTCCATCACTCCTAAGGCTAGTCTTCCCTTAGACTCACAGCTAGGCAAGGTCGCATATGTGTGATTACACAGCACTGAACAGATCTTCATGGGAAAGCCTTGGGTTCTGTCATGCCTTCATCTGCAGAGATGCTGCAGTCATGACCCAGGCCTTCCCTGGACAAACTCAGGGTGGAGTGCCTGAGAGGTTTTTCTGTATACTTTTGCCTCCCCAGTTTCCAGACTCAGCCCTTGATCATTAGTGGGGAGATTGAATACTGCAGGATGTGTGGGGCAGAGGCTGCATCTCCGCTCTGGTAGCAGGCATGCGGAGAGACATAGCCGCAGGAATAGATCAAATCCCGTTACAGAAACTCAGTGTTGACCACCAAGATGTCTCAGACTGTTTCAGCTGGTAACCCCCTTCATCTACTTTTTTTTCTTTTAATTTTGACTTTTTCATCATTTTGAAACAGGGTCTCACTATGTAGATCTGTCTTTGCCTCCCACGTGCTGGAACTAAAGAAATGCACCACTATACCCAGCCCCCCCCCTTCTCTCTTTCTTTCTTTCTTCTTTTTCTTTTAACGGGTCAGGGTTCCTCTATGTAGCTTTGGAGTCTCTCCTGGACTCTGTAGACCAGGCTGGTCTCAAACTCAGAGATCCACCTGCCTCTGCCTCCTGAGTGCTAAGATTAAAGACGTGCATCACCACCCAGCTGCCCATGAAGTTTTTGTGTAATTTCATGTGTACAGATTTATAAAATAGGTGTACAAATCAAATATTTAATGGTAATGAATTTATTATAAAATAATTCTCTGCTGTATGTATAATTTTACCACTTGTCAAAGATAAGATCAAATTTATATAGACACGAGATAAATTTGCTTGTTTATGTTTACATATGGAATTTAGTTTGAGGTTGGGGAGATGACTCAGTGGGTAAGACCACTTACCTTGAAAGCAAGGAATCTGAGTTCAAATTCCTGACTGGGCATAGCTGCATGATCCTGTAGCCCCAGTGCTGGAGGGTGAGCGGATAGGTGGGGAGGCCCCAGGAGCCCATTGGTGAGTTTAGTGGTTTAGTGAGAGACCCTGTCTCAGAAAGCAAGGTGATGGTGGAGTGTAATGGTGCGCATACTTCAATCCCAACAGAGGCAAGCATAGTAAGACTGTCTCAAAAGATAAAATAAAGGGATGAGGTGGAGAGCCATTAAGAAAGTCACACAACCAACATATTCCTCTGGCATCTTCATGCATGTATATAGCCCCACGTGCACACACAAAATAATTAACTCTTGGCTGAATCTTTAATGGTACATAATATGGTATATCTTCAGTGTTTTCAGAGTCAATTAATTAGTATTTTGATTTTATGGTTGTTAATGTTGAGAACACCACTTTGATTGAATATGTACTACCAAATGGCAAAAGTATGTCCAGGACTGTTTCAGAAATTATTGGAAATTCCATCCTAATCCCAAACCAAAATTGTTTTAACAACTTTTTATGAAACTCAAACAGCAATTTTTAAAGTCAAACATTTTGTCATAACACAATGTAAAGATGTGCTCATTGGAATTTACATACTAGGATGATAGGAGAAAAGTATTAAATGTGTCTTTTCCATATTTAAAAGTACATGTCTCTGCACATTCTCTCTCTCTCTCTCTCTCTCTCTCTCTCTCTCTCTCTCTCTCTCTCTCTCTCTCTCTCTCTCTCTCTCTCTCTCTCTCACACACACACACACACACAGGGTCTTGAACTTGAGAGATCTGCCTGCTTCTGCCTCCCAAATGCTGTTATTAAAAGTGTGCACCACCACTACCTAGCATATATGTCTCTTGAGAAGAGAAACTTTATGTATGTATAGTGAAAACAGCAGTTCATAATATTTCTTAGCCTCAAGTCAGAGCCAAGGGTCTCAGACAGCATCTTTTGGTGTTGCACAGCAGGGTAGCATTTGTTGGTGTTGCACGGTAGGACAACATGTATACAGCACAGTGTGCAAATTATGTGTTCAGAACTAAAACTTCAACAAAGTCATGAGGGGCAACATGGGCAAACATTGCAGATTTATTACAGTTTGGTTAGAATTTTGGCTGTTGAACATTCAGAAATCTTTATGGGCAGAAAGATGGTTTGGTCATTAATATCATGTTCTGCTGAGTTTAATAACTGCAGGAATAAGGAGCAGTTTGATTTGGAATTGGTGATAGAAAGTACCCTTGCCACCATAGCTTCTGGACTTTGTTCCAACTCTTCTCCCTTGCACCTCTGTGTGCCCCTTCTAGGTTGCCCAAGTACTCCTGCCAGTTCATTGAGATGTGTCTGATGGTAACAGCTGATCATGGGCCCGCTGTCTCTGGGGCCCACAACACCATCATCTGTGCCCGGGCTGGAAAGGATCTGGTCTCCAGCCTCACATCAGGGTTGCTCACCATTGTAAGTTTGGCCTTCCTGGGAGGGAGGTAACAGCTTTGGCTTCATGCTGCCTTTATAAATGCAGCAGGCTCCTCCTAAGAGCCTCTGGGTATAAACCCCCAGGCCAGATGCTGTTCTGGGCATCCTGGGTTGATTTGCAGAGCTAGGAAAACCATCACACTCAGGGCAGTGTGGCTTTGTTTTCTCCTGCAGGGAGATCGGTTTGGGGGTGCCTTGGATGCAGCAGCGAAGATGTTCAGTAAAGCCTTTGACAGTGGCATTATTCCTATGGAGTTTGTGAACAAGATGAAGAAGGAAGGCAAACTGATCATGGGCATTGGCCACCGGGTGAAATCGGTAACTTGTTGCTCCCATTAGGATCTGTGGAATGGGGAGTGACACTGAGTTAGAAACATTTTGGCCTGGAGAGATGGCTTCACTGTTAAAGAGTACTTGCTGCTCTTAAAGAGGACCTGGGTTTAGTTCCCAGCACCATGGGGTAGCTCTCACAACTATAACTGTAGTTCCAGGGAGCCCAACACCCTCTTCTGGATTCTGGTTGCCCCCACACAGGTGGTGCACACACATACATGCAGGCAAAAACTTACACACATAAAATTAAAATAAAACTTTCAAGAAAGAAAGAAACACTCAAGCTCTTGACCCCCTAGTACACATACCTCGGGACATGTAGACAGATGTCAAATGCAAGGTGACTCTTTCCCCATCATAATACAAATTGATGACCCTAAGAGTTCTCAGTTCATTCAGCTTCAGTTTTCCTAATGAAGAAAGAGCCATGATCAGGAAGGGGAAATGTCCATTACTTTCTACCAGATAGTACTTTATGTTACACAAATCTCAGTGACCTATGTCAGCCACACTGTATCTGCCACAGGTTAGCTGTAGCTGTTCTGTCACTTGAGCTAAGCCTCACTGGGGTGTGTGCGACTTCAGGTGTGGTGGTCAGAGGACAACCTATTGGAGTCAGTTCTTTCCTTCCATGATGTGGCCAGAACTCAGGCTGTCAGGCTTGATGCAGTTCCTTAACTCACTGGTCCATTTCTGGCACTTTACTCACATTTCATCGGTAAAAGCAAGCCAGACAGGTACACTTGACATACTTGCAACAGAAAAGTAGTAATATTAAGGCAAGCCCAATTGGAATAGATCCACAGGGAAAGACAAAGTATTTTCAACAGTTAGTGTGGTCCTGTGTGTGGCTGACAGGTATCTGAATGTCCTGATAGTGTGTCCTTTCAGGTCACTGGTGTTTGGATTTAGTGCATCTGAGTCATCTCACTCACCCACTGTCAGCCCTGGGTTCTCTGTCTTAGGGTTCCTCCTCTTCCTCTTCATTTTGTTTAGTGAGACAGGGTCTCTCTTCTACGCCTTGGCTGTCCTGGAACTCCTTATGTAGTCTAGGCTGGCCTTGAGCTCACAGGAGATCATCCTGTCTCTGCCTCCCAAATCCTGGAATTAAAAGCTTGCCCCACTACACCCAGCTTAGTTAGGGTTTCAGTCACTATGATAAAAAATATCCCAGTCAAAAGCTACTTAGGGAGGGAAAGGGTTTGCGTCATCTCATAACTCTTAGGTGAGGGAAGTCAGGACAGGAACTCCAGACAGGGCCTGAAGTAGAGGCTATAGAAGATCACTGTTTACTCACTGACTTGGCCAGCTAGCTTTCTTTTACAACCCACGACCACCAGGTGGCACCACTCATAGTAGCTGGACCTGCCACATTAATATCAATCAAGAAAATGCTCCAGCAAAGTTGCCTGTGGGCCATTCTGATAGAGGCAATTTCTCATTTGAGGTTTCTCTTCCCAAAAAACTCTAGTTTACTGACAGACAGACAAACAAACAAACAAAAAAACCTAAACCAGGACAGGATATTCTTTTAACAGATGTTATTTGTTATCTGTCAATGTTCCAGTTCTAGATTTTTTTTTAAGATTTTGGGGTGCATTGCTGCCCTGTTCCTTGCATGTGCAGAACATTTCTGTAGCTTAACCAGATGACAGAGCTTATAGCCAGACCCAAACATGGTGGAGAGTGACTGCGTCCAGCCCCCTCTACCTAACACCACAGATACTGGGTAACTTCCTGAACATCTAGGGGACTCAATTCCTTTCTTGTAACAAAGGGATCACTACAGAGGTTGTTTAGAGGCCAAAATGAGACATGAGGGAACTCTTCTGCCTCCCAGCATTGTCATTATGGGAGTTATAAGGAATTGGACACAGATTGGGTCCTCATGCTGACTCCAGGATAGGACAGGGACAGCTCTGTCCACTTGCAGCACAAGCACTTCCGTGGCCTGCTGTGTCTGAGGCGATGTTTCTGTAACGGGGTCTTTTTTTAGATAAACAACCCAGACATGCGAGTGCAGATCCTCAAAGACTTTGTCAAACAGCACTTTCCCGCCACCCCGCTGCTTGATTACGCCCTGGAAGTGGAGAAGATCACCACCTCGAAGGTAACAGAGGGGTGGATTGCTTACTTACTGTTGGAGGCTTTCGTGACAAGGGCTGTGTAGTACAGTTGGCTTAGTAGAGGATGCTGTCCATCTTCTGTACCCTGCTCAAATTGGTCATTTTAAAATGGTTTCAAAATTCATAGTGAGCGTGTTAGCCACTTCCCATTGCTCTGATAAACACCTGGCAGAGCACATTACAGGGAGGACTGGTGTGTTGACTTACAGTGGTTCCAGGCTGGGGTGGCGGGAGGCCTGGCAGGACAGTGGCTCATGCTGTCCCAGCTAGCTCTTGTTCCCCTCCATTTGTGCTCCTAGCTTGTGGGATGGTGCTTTCCACAGTCACAGCAGGTCTCCCTGTATCAAACCCTCTCTGGAAAGTTCGTGTGGACACACCTAGACGTGAGCTTTACTGATCTCCCAGGAGCTTCTCAGTCTAGTCAAGCTATTTATCAAAATGAACTGTCATAATAATAGTAGTAATAAGCCGGGCATTGGTGGCGCACACCTTTAATCCCAGCACTCGGGAGGCAGAGACAGGTGGATCTCTGTGAGTTCGAGGCCAGCCTGGTCTACAGAGCTAGTTCTAGGACAGCCTCCAAAAAACAATACAGGGAAACCCTGTCTCGAAAAACCAAAAAAATTAAAAAATAATAGTAGTAATAACAGTGGTAGTAGCTAACAAAGGGAAAAAGTGAGAAATGATAAAACTGTGAACTTTTTGCTTTCCCAGAAGCCAAATCTTATCCTGAATGTGGATGGTTTCATTGGTGTCGCATTTGTGGACATGCTTAGGAACTGTGGCTCCTTCACCCGGTGAGCATCTCAGCCTCCATTCCAGCATTGGTTGATTTTCATTGCTCTTTCTTCCCAGCTGTGAGGAACTTAGAAAGTATAGCGAGGCATAAGGAAAAGACTAATGTCGCCTCCAGCCCTGCCGCCCACAGCACCCACTTTTCCACTTTGAAACTATAGAACTGCTGGTGGCCAGGAGTGGTGCTGTCTCTCAGGAGGGTGGTCATGTGAGTCATCTTAAAAGTACAAGTTGTTTGTGTCTTTCAGGGAGGAAGCTGATGAGTATGTTGACATTGGAGCCCTCAATGGCATCTTTGTGCTGGGAAGGAGTATGGGCTTCATTGGTGAGTTGGCTGCTCTAGAAGGGTTTTTATTTTATGTTTTGTGCACTACTTCCCGTGTGCAAACTTCTGCCACAGATGTCACATGCACATTCACCACCATCCTTCTTCTCCCCCCCTCCCCCTCTCTTTTGGTATTTTGAGACAGGGTTTCACTGTGTAGCCCCAGATGTCCTGGAACTCATTCTGTAGTCCAGGCTAGCCTCAAACTCATAGAGATCTGCCTGCTTCTGCCTCCCGAGTGCTGGAATTAAAGCCATATGCCACCACTGCCCCAACTAACTTTTTTTTCTTATCTTTATCTATGTTCCTTTTATTATAGGGAATAGTTTGTATTACTAGTTAAGAGAAGTTTAGCAGTTCCTTTTTTGCCAAGTCTGACTGATACACCTATAGAATGAATGGAATTCCTGCTGTTTTGGTATGTGCATATGCATGTGTGCTCATGCGTGGGTGTGTTTTGTTTTATGGTTTTGTTATCTACCCTCATTGTACCCTGCCATAAAGCTACATCCCCAGCTCTCTGTGTGTCAGGAAGATTTCCTTCCCCATCTCTGACCTTCATCATGCTTGTGAAACTAAAGAAAACTACGCTGGTTCCATTTTAGGGCACTATCTTGATCAGAAGAGGCTGAAGCAGGGGCTGTATCGTCACCCATGGGACGATATTTCCTATGTTCTTCCGGAACACATGAGCATGTAACTGAATCAGGAACCCTGCTGTAGTAAAAAGAAGACAAGAACTCCCTTCTGGGTAATAACGGACAGACAGTTGGAAGCAGAGTCCATTATAGGCTGGGCCTGGAGCAGAAGTAGCCATTGATGTACAGGCATGGAAGACCAACTTACAGGCTAGTACCCATTCAGATCACACAAAGAAACTTAGTATTTTTTTTATATATATATAAGCGTAGAAATTGAAAACCAAGCCAATACTTGTGACATTTGCTCTGCTACCTGCTATATCTATTATATGGAATAATAGTGTCAGAATAGCGTTCTTCTAGGGCCTTACGATGTTGCTTTCTTTTTTTAATTAGTTAAAAATGTATTTTTCCTTTGGAGGAAGGGAATGCAACTTTTAAGACTATAGGACCCACTGACATCTGGTATCCCACTTCCCATTTATCTTCACATAACATGAAGAACACTGTATTAGTCTGATTTTTAAGGATCTTTTTTTTTTTCTGTGTTATGTGTTAAGGGTTTATTTAGTATCCCACTGAAATGTTCTGTGTTACGGATCAGTGTCAGGGAGGGGTGGGGCCATTACATCCTTAGCTGTTGTCTTACATATGTGGAATAGTAACTTAAATGTAAAGTTGTAACATATGAGTGTTTAAAATGGAAACACAAGCAAAAAGCTGTGAAATGTCTTGTGTCTCATGTTCTGTGTTTATGCAGCTGATTTGTCTGTTACTGAAGTGTGGGTCCAAAGACTCATAGAGCTGTTTGCATCTATAACCCACAAAGATTCTGGGCAGCTGCCACCTCAGTCTCTTCTCTGTATTATCATGTTTGGTTTAAATAAACTATACAGTAACAGTGACGTATTGCTGTTCTGTCATCTGTTTTTGAAACAAAGCTGTCCTGGAACTATAGACAATGTTGGCCTCTGCTGAGATTAAAGGTGATTAAAGGCATGCACCACTACACCCAACTCTTAGTTTTAGCATTTTAAAATGTAGGAGTTCTAATTGGTCTTAATAATAAAACTCGGAGTCAGTTATTTGATATTAGATCATGGAAGCAAAGCAGCCAGCCACTAGCTCTTACCTCTACCTCAGACCAAATGGGTGGTCCTGACTCCATGAATTCTCAGATGGGATGCTCTCTATGAAACCTCAGAGTGCATCCTCAGACTGCCTCCCGCTTTATATTTCTCTCTCCACCCAGTTGTATCACTCCTGTCTCCACCTCCCTAGTGCTGGGATCACCTTTGTGTGAGCTGTTTCCCTTTTAACCCAGGATGACTTTGAACTAACAGAGATCTGTCTGCCAAGTACTTGGATTAAAGGTGTGTGCCACCACTGCCTGGCCTCTATGGTAAACTAGTGTGGCTAGCTTTGCACTCTGATCTTCAGGCAAGCTTTATTTGTTAGATCATAAACAAAATATCATCACATTAAAATCTACCTCCACCTCCTTGAAAAGAAAAATATAATGAAAACACCAGTATATATTGTCATGCCCCCTCACCCCCCCAAAAGCGATAAAAACCTTAAAGTTGAGGCTTAGTGGTACCTTTAATTCCAGCACTTGGGATCAGAGTTCAAGGCCAGACTGATATCTATGGCACCTACTAGGTTTTTAGACACCCAAGGCTTCCAAACCTGATTTGTTGTTTGTTTTGTTTTTGTTTTTTTCAAGACAGATCTGCCTACCTCTGCCTCCCAAGTGCTAGGATTAAAGGTGTACGCCACCACTGATCTAGAGAGATGGCTAGGTGGTTAATAGCACTTGTTGCTTGCCCTGAAGTCCTGAGTTTAGTACCAGAACCATATCAGCTGACTCACAACCATCTGTAACTTCAGTTCCAGAGGACCCTACCCTACACCTCTGGCTCTGAGGGCACCTTCACTCATGTGCACATACCTGCATGTAGAGACATCTACATATAATTTAAATGATTTTTTAAGTCTTCAGAAATAAAAGGAAAAGCTATTAAGACATGGCTCAGCAGGGGAAGGCATCAGCTGCCACCCCTGACCTCAGGAGCCTGACACCTGGGACCTCGTGGGAGGAAAGAACTGACTTCTGAAGACTCTTTAATCACAGGTGTGCCAGGGCCCACGAGTAACTACACTACACACCTAGACTGCATAAATGTAAAGAGAAAATCAAATTAAGACACTCCACTGCCTTGCTTACAATCCCAAAGTGTCTTTTATTCATTTTGTTTTGTTTTTTGAGACTTTTTTCTATGGAGCACTGGGTGTCTTGGAACTCGATCTGTAGACCAGGCTGCCCTGGAACTCACATAGATCCTCCTGCCTCTGCCTTCTAAGAGCTGGTTTATTCACTTGTATTTGACGCATATGAAATGGTATATGCAGCTAACATTTGATTCCGCACTACCTCATTTAATCCTGTGTTCTAAAGTAGGCAACATCCATTTTTAAAAGGCAGATATATGTTAAGTAACTCCTCACCTTTGTGCACTTTTTTTTTCTTTTCTTTGTTTTTTTGAGACAGTCTAGCCCAGGCTGATCTACTGGAAATGGTTCTGCCTTAGGGTCCCAAGTGCTAGGATTACAGGTGTGTGCCACCATACCCCTCTAAGACTCAAAGCCCTAAGCCTTTTTCTTTTCTTTTGAAAATACATTTCTGGAGACTGGAGAGATGGTTTGTAACACGAATAAATAAAAGACTCAAGGGCTGATATTGGGATTTAAACTCCAAGCTGAAAAGCAAAGCAGCTGGCTGCTAGCTTACTACCTCAGGCCTGATGGGCTGATCCTCGCTCCAGGAGCTCTCACCAAACCTGAGACTGTAACCCTTCCTCAGTGTGACTGGAGAATGAATGCCTCTACTGGGACCTTGCTTTGGTCTTATATATTTCCTAATGTTGGGATCAAAGGTGTGAACTATAATTCTCTTTTACTGATTCACTCTTGTGTGGATCTGGGTGGCCTTGGACTTACAGAGATCTGTCTACCTCTCTTGTAACAAGCGTTCTTCCTGCCAGCCTGGTCCCAGAGCTGCATCAGTCCCAAATGAACACACAAGACTTTATATTATGAAGCTGTTGGCCATTTGCTATGGTTTGCTATTGACTAGCTCTGACTTAATTATTAACCCATAACTGCTAATCTGAGTATTTTCATGTGCTCTTCTCTGTAGAGAGGGTTCACACCTCTAACTCCTCTCCAGTCCTACATGGTGACTGACTGTGCCTCCGTTTCCCAGAATCCTCAACCTCTCCTTGTCCTACCTGTCTTGCTTCCCTATTGACCAACAGTGCTTTATTTATCAACCAGTAAGACAAACATATACACAGAAAGACTCCCCCATCAACCTCTAAATCCTGAGTCCTAGAATTAAAGGTGTATGAAGATGGAATTTCTGTCTTGCCAGATCCCACAGCTGTTTAGTCCCAAATAAACACACAGAGACTTATATTCTTTATAAACTATTTGGCCAATGGCTCAGGCTTCTTATTGGCTAGCTCTCTCTTAATAACCCATTTCTATTACACTATGTGTTGCCACGAGACTGTGGCTTACCTGTAATGTTCTGTCATGTTACTCCTTCAGTGGCTACATGGCCTCTCCTTGACACTCTCTCTCTCTCTCTCTCTCTGTTCCTCTTCCCAGCATTCCTAGTCTGGTAGCCCCACCTATACCTCCACCCTGGCTACTGAGCAATCAGCATTTACTTACCAACTAATAAGAGAAACATTCACAGTATGCAGAAGGACATTTCCCATAATCTCCTCTTTTCTGTCTAAATAAAAAGGAAGGTTTTAAGTTTAGCATAGTAAAATTATATATAACAAATCAGTTATTATAGTTAACAATATTTAGTCCATTAACATTGTAATTTATCTTTTATCATAACTAAGGAAAGCCATAACCATAACTATCTTGTCTTCAACTCCATCAAAGACCTCAAAAGGACAATATGTAAACTCTAGAATTGACAGAGATATCAAGTTCCTCTGTAACGTTGGGGCGTCCCTCTTCAGCCTATAGGTCCCCAGTGTCTGGAAGACTTTTTGATGAAGCAGGAAACTTGAAGGACCATCCTGTCCTGGGGCAAGCTCAGCAGTCACTTTTCTTTGTAACCTGCTTGTCCAGTTTGGACAGCTTATTGTCAAGCAGTCCAGGCAAGAGCAGTTTCTTGTCCAAATGGCTATTCCTGCCATCTTCCTCTCTAATATAATTGGTGTTGCCAGGAGCAGTTGTGTATCATTGTCATGAAAAATCTAATAAACCTTTTTTTTTTTTGGTTTTTCCAGAGAAGGTTTCTCTGTGGCTTTGGAGGCTGTCCTGGAACTAGCTCTTGTAGACCAGGCTGGTCTTGAACTCACAGAGATCCGACTGCCTCTGCCTCCCGAGTGCTGGGATTAAAGGCAGGCAGCACCACTGCCCAACATCCAGCAGCATTTATAAACAATGTCTTTTAGCAGCCATTGCTCCTTCCTCAGCAATCAAACAATTCAAAGACAACACAATAACATACAGTACCCAGACTGCGTATTTTCCATCTTTAGGAGGCTTATTTTTTATTACTCTATTTCTTTTATATTTTGGTGTTTTTTGGTTTTTGTTTTGTTTTGTTTTGTTTTTTTGAGACAGGGTTTCTCGGTGTAACTTTGGCTGTCCTTGAACTTACTCTTAGATCAGGCTGTCCTTGCACTCACAGAGATCTGCTTGCCTCTGCCTCCCAAGTGCTGGGATTAAAGGAGTGCCCCACCACGTTTTTTAAGGACTTTCTCTATTCGTTTTCTTTTCTCTCCCAAGCCTACGTATATTTTTAAGTCTTATTTCTGCTAAACAGCCTGGCTGAAATTAAAGTGGTGACTGGCCCCGCCCTATTCCTTGGCTTTCTGAGAGTCCGGCTTCACGGCAGGGATACTGGTGGGAGCCATGCTTATTGCCACAATTCTGCAGAGTTTCTAGGTCCATGCCACCACCAAAAAGCATGCCACCATCTGCTCATAACCACCCTTTAAGTGTTTGGCAGCAGGGCCTCTTAAAAGAGCCTTGCAGTTTTTGCTGATAACACTGAGTCAGGAAGCCTCTCTTAGAGCAGCCATGACTCTGCTTGCCTCTAGCAAACAGAGCCCACCCGAGAAAATGCTGCTACCAGGAAGCAGTGTTTGCTTCTGTTATTTGTTTTTAGAATCCCTTTTTAAGCTTTTTAAGCTTTTGTTTTACATGGAAATTTTTGCCAAATGTCTGGCCCAGTTCCGCAGCCATTTAGTCCCAAATAAACACACAGAGGCTTATATTAATTATAAACTGTCTGGCCAATGGCTTCTTATTGGCTAGCTGTCTCTTAATTATTAACCCATTTCTATTAAATTGTGTATTGCCATGAGGCTATGTCTTACCTGTAATTTCCATCATGTTACTCCTTCGGCAGCTGCATGGCATCTCTTTGCCACTCTCTCTTTCCCTCTTCCTCTTCTCAGCATTCCTAGTTTGGTAGCCCTACCTGACTGGTCAATCAGCATTTATTCACCAACTAATAAGAGAAACATATTCACAGCACACAGGTGGACATCCCCGGTCAGATGTGTGCCTCCTCCTCCTAGCTTCTGTCTGCTGGGATTAAAGGGGTGGGCCTGACTTCTAAGGCTTGTGGCTGACTTTGCTTTCTGAATCCTCAGGCAAGCTTTAGTAAATCATAAATAATACATCACTACAATAGTTCAGCAGTTGAGAGAATGAACTTCTATCCCAGCACCCACAACTGTCAACATGAATGCCTGCAATTCCAGTTCCAAGAGATCTGAGACTCTTCAGGCCTCTGGATACCCACACAGGTAACACAGACACATGTAAACACACACAATTTTAAAAAGAGATCCAGCCTGGCAGTGGGGGGGGGGGGCACACCCTTAATCTCAGCACTTGGGAGGTAGAGGCAGATGCAGATCTCTGTCAGTTCAAGGCCAGCCTGGGTTACAGAGCAAATTCTAGTACAGGCTCCAAACAAACAAAAAACAAACAAAAATCTTCTTGGAAAATTATTTGAACTAGAGATGGCTCAGCAGCTAAGTGCACTGGCTGCCCTTCCAGAAGACCTACGTTTGGTTGCCAGAACCCATATGACAGTTCAGAATGATCTGTAACACCAGTCCCTAGGAATATGATGCCCCCTTCTGGCCTCAGAAAACACTGTAGGAAAGTGGTGCACAGATGGACATAGAGGCAAAAACACTCACATAAATAAAAAAAAGAAAACATTTCTGAGCCACAGACATGGCTCTTCAGGTAGACATCCGGATTTGCCACCAAGTTTGACTATCCGAGCTGCACTCACCAAGCCCACGAACCTGACTCCAAAGGGTGTCTTCTGACTTCCACACTAGCTGCTGTGGTAGGAGGCATCCACACACATTAAGAAAAGAAAAGAAAGAAAGAAAAATTGTATTCATTTAGTTTTGTGGGCAGGGAAGATGGCTCATTGAGTAAAGGTGCCTGCCACCAAGCCTAATGACCCCGGTTTGAATTCCTTTGTCTAATGGAGAGAAAAGACTGTGTTAAATTGTCCTCTGTCATCCACAGAAATACCCCCGCATAAAACAAACAAGTTTAAATTTTTTCTCTAGGTTTATTTATTGGTGCTGGGGTGATTACACTACCATCACTTCTTAAATAGCTCATATTAAATTGGATGTGCCCAGGCACACTTGAGTAATCCTAACCCTAGGGAGGTGATGACAGAAGAATCAGGAATTCAAGGTCATCCTCAACTACATGTAGCTGTGCTGGGTTCCACCATGACACTGTTGCAAAAATAATTTACTTGATAACAACGTTATTTCTTGACCCCCCCCCAGCCCTGCTGGAGAAATGGCTTAGCAGTTAAGAGTGCACCAGGTGGCGGCAGCACACACCACTGATCCCAGCACTGGGGAGGCAGAGGCGGTGGATCTTTCTATGATTTCGAGGTCAGCCTATTCTGCAGAGTGAGTTCCAGGTCATCCAAGGCTACACACAGAGAAACTCTTGTCTCGGAAAGAAAAAAGCAAACAAACGTCCTCAGAGGACCAGGTTGACTCCCAACTCTGTATCAGGAGGGTTTTTCTGGCCTGTAACTCCAACTCTAGAGGACCCAACACCTCTGTCCTTTGTGAGTACTGGCGCCCACAGATGCATGAAAACAAATACTTTGATAAGAACAAAATTAAAAATTAAAAAAAAAGTTTTGTTTTGTTTTTCAAGACAGGGTTTCAATGACTAACAAACAGCCTTGGCTGTCCTGGAACTCGCTCTGTATACCAGGCTGGCCTCGAACTCAGAGATCCGTTTGCTTCTGTCTCCCGAGTGCTGGAATTAAAGGTGTGCTTCACCACCACCCAGTCAAAGTCGTTTTTTGCTTTTTGTTTTTGGTTTTTCGAGGCAGGGTTTCTCTGTATTGTTTTGGAGGCTGTCCTGGAACTCACTCTGTAGACCAGGCTGGCCTCGAACTCACAGAGATCCGCTTGCCTCTGCCTCCCAAGTGCTGGGATTAAAGGCGTGCGCCACCAACGCCCGGCCTTCGTTTTTAAGTATATATATAAATTGGGCATTGTGGCGCACACAGAAGCAGAGGCAGGTGAATCTCTATGAGTTCCAGGCCATCCTGGTTTACAGAGCGAGTTCAAAAACAAAATTTTTGTGTGTACGTGTGGTGGTAAGGATACACTCCAAATCAATTTAAAGTAGAAAATTAAGCCGGGCGGTGGTGGCGCACGCCTTTTAGCCCAGCACTCGGGAGGCAGAGGCAGGCGGATCTCTGTGAGTTTGAGGCAGGGCTGGCCCGACAGCCTCCAAAACAATACAGAGAAACCCTGTCTCGTAAAACAAACAAACAAAAAAAGTAGAAAATTAAACAAAACACGTCCAGATGGCAACCCTAAGGCCGGGAAGGAGGTAGACCTAATTTTTTTTCTCGCAGCGAGTCCTGAGCTTACCTCACCAGGGGGGGGAGCAAGCGTGGCGGAAGTGCGCAGGCGCAGCTCCGCCCCGCGCGCACTATTTAATCCCAGAATTCCTCTGTGTCGCACCAGAGTTGCCGCACCGTTCTGAAGCATAGGGGGGGCCGGTTCGGCAGTGTCAAGATGGCGGCGGCGGTGGCGGCGGCGGCTGCTGCTGCGGCCGCGGCTGCATCTCTTCAGGTGCTGGAGATGGAGGGCATGGAGACTGCCGCCGCCGGTTCCGCAGGCCTGGCCGCCGAGGTCCGAGGCAGTGGCACGGTGGACTTCGGGCCCGGGCCCGGGATCTCTGCCATGGAGGCGAGCGGGGGCGATCCGGGCCCAGAGGCCGAGGACTTCGAGTGCCGCACTCACTGCTCCGAGTTATCCTGGCGGCAGAACGAGCAGCGGCGGCAGGGCCTGTTCTGCGACATCACCCTGTGCTTCGGTGGGGCCGGAGGTCGCGAGTTCCGTGCCCACCGCTCGGTGCTGGCCGCCGCCACCGAGTACTTCACGCCCTTGCTATCCGGCCAGTTTTCAGAGTCGCGCTCAGGCCGGGTGGAGATGCGCAAGTGGAGCTCGGAGCCGGGCCCCGAACCTGACACAGTGGAAGCCGTTATCGAGTACATGTACACTGGGCGCATCCGAGTGAGCACCGGTAGCGTGCACGAGGTGCTGGAGCTGGCCGACAGGTAGGCGATGAGGGGCGAGCGAGGGTCGGGGGGGGGACCCCTCATTGTGCCCGCAGCGGGGCACCCACTCTGAGAGTCTGTCTTGTGCCCATTGCACCCGGGAGCGAAGATTTCGGGTGTAGGGACAAAAGCGGTGGAAAGCTGTGTGTAGTGCGTGACTCCTGTGATGAAGACATTAAAAAAAAAATACAGCGAAAGGCTGGCTGCGGAATGCAGGAGACGACATTTAAACCGGCCCCGGAATGGCAAGGGAAGTTGGCAGGGCAAAGGGAGATGGATGCGCATTACAGGCTTCCAAAGGCCAGGATCCAGCTTGGCTTAGAGGAAGATCTTTAAAAGAATCCAGCGAGTCTGGATCTTGTTGGGTGAAGGGGAGGGTGGTTATGAGCTACTCTGGTGACCCCAACCAGATTATTTTTATTGCTACTTCACAACTGTAATTTTGCTAGCGTTATGAATCCCCATAATGTAAATAGCTAATATGCAGGTTATCTGGTATTCTACCCTTGGGAAAAGGTTGTTTGATCCCAGGGGGTCTCAACCCACAGGTTGAACCACAGCCTTATAGGCCTGTGAAAGTTGAACTTTGTTTTACAAGACCGGATTTCTTTGTGTAGCCTTGGCTGTCCTAGAATTAGCTCTCTAGACCAGGCTGGCCTCAAAGTCACAAAGTTCTGCCTGCCTCTGCCACCCAAGTGCTGGGATTAAAAGCATGGTCCACCACTGCCCCCACAGAGCTGAACGATTTGAAATTAGAAGTTGGTGAGACTGATGCTGTTTTATTTGATACATTCTGTATTGAAAAAAGGGTAGGGCAGAGGGGAGGATGCAGCAAGGACTGTAGCAGAGACTAGTTTAAGTCAATGCAATAGTGGTCGAGGTTTGGATTGAGAAGGAAGGTGAGAGGAGGGACTCTGTGTGTGTGTGTGTGTGTGTGTGTGCGCGCGTGTGTGTGTGTGTGTGTGTGTGTGTGTGTGTGTGTGCGCGCGCGTGTGTGTGTGTGTGTGTGTGTGCGCTTTGAGATTTATTTTATGTATATGGGTGTTTGGCCTGCATTTATGTGTACAGGCTTAGTGCTTGATGCCAAAGAGCCAAGAAAGACGGCGTGAAGAGCAGCCAGTGCTTTTAGCTGCTGAGCCATCTCTGCAGGACATCTGTGTTTTGAAGTAGAGGAGATGAATTGACAGTGGATTTGATATGTGAGTAAAGTGGGAAATTTTTTGACCCTAGCAATTGGAAAGATCTGATTATTACAGTGTAGGAAAATGCCGGGGATTTAATCCCTACACTCTTGGAAAGCAGAGGCAAGAAGACCTCTGAGTTTTAGTCCAGTCTGGTCTATATATCCAGAGATTCGTAATGAGATGTTGCCCCGCCTCTTCACCCCTCACAAAAAGATGTGTAAAATTAGGGCCTGCAGAGATGGCCCAGCTGTAGGTAAAATGTCTGCACTGCAAGCTGAGGACTTGGCTTCAGTTCTTTAAAAGCTGGGCATGGTAGTGCATTCCCGTAGCCCCAGTCTTGAGGGAGAGGGCAGAGACGGACTGATTTCCTGAAATTCACTGGCCAGCCAGTCTGGCCCACTTGTCTGAAAAAGAAAAAGAAAGGTGGAGGGGTTACAGAGACAGCCCAGTGGCTAAGAACACTTGTTTCTTGCAGAAGACCTAGGTTGGTTTTCCCAATGCCCATCTGGTTGCTCACAACCACCTGTAACTCCTGTTCCAGTGGATCTGATATCTTCTTGCCATCAAGGACATCAGGCGCATGTGGTGCACAGATAAACATGTAGGCAAAACACTCTTACACACAAATCTTTAAAAAATGTTTAACAAAGACAGAGATCAATCAAAGCCTTATGCCTTTCTCTACATTCCTGCTCAAGCACACAAAAGCTGTGGAAAAATACAGAAGAGCAGATTTGAGAAGAAGGTCAGTATGGACTTGGTCATGATGTCTGAGTAAGCTGTTAAATTGAAGAACACTGTGTCTCCAGTCAAGTTACGAAGGAAATCACAAAGAGAAACAATGTCACAAATAGGGATATTTTCAGGGGCCAGAGAGAGATGACTCAGCCATTAAGAGCATCGGCTGCTTTTCTAGAGGACCTGTGATCAATTCCCAGAACCCATATGATTGTTCACAACCATCTGTAATTCCAGTTTTAGGGTCCAATTCCCTCTTCTGATGGTGGCAGTGACCACGTACTTAAATACTTTCAGGCAAAATTCTCATAGGCATAAAATATTTGTTTTGGGTTTTTTTGTTTGTTTGTTTTAAGAGACAGGGTTTCCTCTGTATTGTTTTGGAGGCTGTCGGTCCAGCCCGGCCTGGAACTCACAGAACCGCCTGCCCCTGTCTCCCGAGTGCTGGGATTAAAGGTATGCGCCACCACCGCCCAGCAAAATATTTGTTTTATTATTAATTTTTTTTAGTACTTAACTCAGTGTCATCACCAGTCTCCAGTGATCAATCATTTGACAGCTAGACTTCAATCCCTTTTTAGGTTTCTTTTTTTTTTTTTTTTTTTTTTTGGTTTTTCGAGACAGGGTTTCCCTGTGTAGCTTTGGAGGCTGTCCTGGAACTAGCTCTGTAGACCAGGCTCCTTTTTAGGTTTCTATGGTATCAGTTCAATTCACTCTATTGGATTCTTTACTACTGTAGAGAATCCCTTGCTTGCCCTCTTTCCCCCCTATTCACTTTTATCCCCCCTATTCACTTTTATACGTACTCTTAAGTAGCTTAATCTGTTCTGTGACTTTAATTATAATTTATATCACAGTTCCCCCAATCTGCATGTATCTCTACCCTCCATCTATCTAATGACTACCCTTTTTGGATTTTTGTTTTTGCTTTGAGAATGGATCTCTTTATGTAGTTCTGGCTGTCCTTGAAATCAGAGATCCAACTGCCTCTGCCTCCCAAGTGCTAGGATTAAAGATGTGCTTGGTCTGGGGCTGGAGAGATGGCTCAGGGGTTAAGAACACTAGTTGGTCTTCTAGAGGTCCTGAGTTCAATCCCAGAAGCCACATGGGGGCTCACAACCATCTGTAATGAGATCTAGTGCCCTCTTCCCGCCTGCAGGCATACATGCAGACAGAACACTGTATACATAATAAGTAAAAAAAAATGTGCTTGGTCTGTTTTTTGTTTTTTTGCGGGGGGATGGGGTGGGGTGGGGGGTGGTGGAATGAGACAGGGTTTCTCTGTGTAACGGCTCTGGCTCTCTTAGGACTCACTTGTAGACCAGGCTGGCCTTGAACTCAGATCAGCCTTCCTCTGCCTCCCGAGTGCTAGGACTAAAGGTGTGGGCCACCAATACCCTGTAGATTTAGGGTTGTAACCTGTAGAAATGTGCTACTATGCCTGGCTCTTTTTCAGTATTTGGAAATATCCCTATTTTAAAAGTATATTTTGTTTATTTATAGCTGGGCAATGGTGGCATATGCCTCTAATCCCAGAATTTAGGAAGTAGAGGTCTGTGGATCTCTGGACAGCCTGGGTTGTTACACAAAACAAACAAACAAAAAAAAATTAAAAGGATTTTAAGAGTGCCTATTTAGTAAACTCTAAAATAGGAAATGGTGGAACATGCTTGGGTGCTGAAAAAAATGATTCTGTGGAAGAGGAGAAACTGGTACTGTAAGAGCAGGAGAATGAATACAGGAGCAGCTTTTAAAATCAAGGAAGGCCATAATCCATACTAAAATTGGAGATTGAGTGGTGCACACTTGTAATTCCAGTACTTGGGAGGCTGAGACAGGAAATCTAGGCCAGACTGGACTATTTAGTAAGACCCTTTCCAAAAATTGTAAGGATTGGATGCTGGTTATGGTGGCTCATGCCTTTAATCCCAGCACTCAGGAGGTAATAGCACGTGGTCTTGATTGACTTCAAGGCCAGCCCAGCCAAGGCTACATAGAGAGACACTATCTCAAACAAAAGCCATAGGCCAAATTGGGAAAGAAAATATAGGGTAAAACTGCAGGCAAATTGGTTGGTGGAAAGATAAAGCTCCTGCCCAATAACTTCTCAAAGTACACAAGACTACCTCAAGATGGGGTAGAATATGTACAGACCCTGGGAAGGATATTTGTTAAGTGAAACTGAAAAGAAGACCTATTGTCAAGCTGTGTTTGTGTCTGTCTGGGACTTAAAACTCTTAACTTTTAGGGGCTGGAAAAATGGCTCAGTGATGAAGAGCAGTAGCTGCTCTTCCAGAAGTCCTGAGTTCAATTCTCAGCCAACATATAGTGGTTCACAATGGTCCCTAATGAGATCTGGCGCCCTTTTCTAGCCTTCAGGCATATATACAGGCAGAACACTGTATACATAATAAATAAGTAAAATTTAAAAACAAAAAAATTCTAACTTTTGCTGGCATGGTGGTACATGCCTTCTGTCTTTGTGTTAGGGACGGAGAGACAAACTGTCTCTTGAGTTTAAGGCCAGCAGGGCTACATAGAGAGACCCTGTCTCAAAAATAAAAAAACAAAACAAAACCTGTCTTTTCTCTATCTTTCACAGGCATTTGTTGTTGTTGTTGTTATTGTTTTTTCGAGACAGGGTTTCCCTGTATTGTTTTGGAGGCTGTCCTGGAACTCACTCTGTAGACCAGGCTGGCCTTAAACTCACAGAGATCTGCCTGCCTCTGCCTCCCGAGTGCTGGGATCAAAGGCGTGCGCCACCAATGCCTAGTTCACAGGCGCTATATTCTAAGTCCCTGTAATGACAGAGCTCAGTCTAATGAGCTCAGAGACAGGATCATTTTCTCTGTGTCCACATATGTAGGAGGAAACCGTGTGCTGCCAGCGAAAGAGCACGTGGCCGAAGTCAGCAGGCCGCCAGTAAAGAGCACGTGGCCACGAGAGAAATCTCGGAATACCACCTAGCCTTACCAGCAGGTAGAAGGTGCTGGTTCCTGGCAGCAGACATCGTGCCTGGCCTGCTTGAGGCCCCGATTCATGTTTCCCGGCTGTAAAGGTCTACCTTGTCTATCTGTAGACAACACATTCCTAAAAATAATGCTTTTACCAGTAATGCATCAAACAGAAGGCCTCAGCAGGAGGTGTGGAAAGAGAAGACATTGGACCAAGGAATGCTGGTCGACTACAGATAGATAAGGTAGACCTTTACAGCTGGGAAACGTGAATCGGGGCCTCAAGCAGGCCCCCAGAAAGAAAGATTATCCGGTCATTCCTAGTGACAGTGGAGGACAGCCTCTCCCAGGACAATTAGAAGATCCACTGCCCATCATAAATAATGCGGCTCTGGAACCAGGCTGGCGGGAAGGCTTCCCTTTACACACATGTACTGTCTGTGATCCAGCCCTACATGGCACATGAATTAGAAATAATAGAATGAGCAGAGTCTCTTGGCCTCCGGGCAGGAGGGGTTGTATAGTAGGGCACTTGTCTAGCATGTTTTAGGCTGTTAGTTGAATCCCCAGTACTATGATAAATAGATAAGTCCAGGCACAGGATTCCTTACATAATAGTGCCTGGTGTGTAATAGCTATTGTTTTCATAGAGTAATGATTCCCAAAATCTGTCTTAAGGGAATATGCCTCAGAATTATTACCACTAAACACAGGAGCTCAAGGCAAGGCAGCCCGGGAATCAGGTGGCCCTTGCACCCAGACTTGTCTGGGGTCCCCTAGACTCTAGAGTCTTCACCACTCTACCTTGTCTTTGTTTTATCTCTAAGGTGGGGATGTTTCTTCGAGAGTATTAAGAAAGCTTGTCTTAATTCATCTATATTTGTAAATAAGTATTTATTAAGCACAGTAACTGTAATAAACCATTGTTGCATGGAAATGGACCTGTCATAATGACACCATTCTTTTTTTTTTTTTTTTTTTTTTTTTTTTTGGTTTTTCGAGACAGGGTTTCTCTGTGGCTTTGGAGGCTGTCCTGGAACTCACTTGGTAGTCCAGGCTGGTCTCGAACTCACAGAGATCCGCCTGCCTCTGCCTCCTGAGTGCTGGGATTAAAGGCGTGGGCCACCAACGCCCGGCTATGACACCATTCTTAGATTGTTTAAGGCTTTTCTCAGTTAAAATGTCTTTCTCTTGTGTAGCCATGGTCTTAGATGGACCACCCTTGGGCTAAGTGCTACTACAGACTGGGTTTCTCTGTATAGCTTTGGAGCCTATCCTAGAATTCTGCTCTGTAGCCCAGACTGGCCTCAAACAGATCCGCCTGCCTCTGTCTCCTGAATGCTGTAATTAAAGGTGTGCACCACCACTTCCTGACCCAGTGCTACTAATTAGATTTATGATTTGGGCCAACACTGTTGTGTTTTGTTTTAACTTAATTTAGGTGGGTGGGTGATGTTCTATAAACCACTTTTCTTTTTTTTTTCCTTTTTTCTTTGGCTAGACTATCTGACACATGATTTTTGTTGTTGTTGTTGTTGTTGTGTGTTTGTTTTATTTCCAGGCTTCAGATATTTGAGTTTATCTTGTCTTCCTTGCTTTAATGATAAGCAGTCTTGGACAAAACCCCTTAGTCTACTTTTTGTGGTTGGCCAAAGAGATGAAAACCTCTGACTCAGTCTAGGCTGCTATTCTTTGTGATATCTGGCTAAGCTGAGTCTCCAGGAAGTTATAGTTCCTGCCTGCCTCTAGTTTACACTATATGGTCATACTGGGTAAAGGCTTTCACTAAGACCCTTTCTAAATAGAAAGAAACTGGAGCTGGGAGTGGTAGCGCATGTCTGTGATCCTGGCACATAGGTGGTAGAAGCAGAAGGATCATCCTTAGCTACATGGTGTGCTGGAGACCAGCCTGGGATACTTCAGACCCTGTCTCAAAAAGACAAAACAAAGCAAAGCCTAAACAAGCAAACAAACAAATAAATAAGAGGTCCAGTGATGGCAAAGGGATTAGAAAAAAATGTCAGAAATGCATGTGAATTGACTTTTGTTCTTGTTGTATGTGCGTGTATCTCTGTGACAATCTGCATGTGAATATGTGCCCAAGAAGGCCAGAAGAGGGCAGTGGACCCCTAGCAGTTGTGAGCTACTTAGCATGGTTGCTGGGAACCACACTCAAGTCTTCAGGTGCCATCTTCTGACTTCCAAGGGTACCATCCATGTATGTCATACATAGATACACAGCAGGCAAAATACCCATACATAGACAATAGAATTCAGGCATAGTGGAGCATGTTTTTAATCCCAGCACTCGGGCAAGCAACAAATAAATAATAAAATAAAAAGATCTTTAGAATTTAACCATCTCTCCAGCTCCTTGTTTTTACTTTATTAGATTTTGTTTGTTTGGTTGGTTTAAGTTTTTCTAAACAAGGTTTCTCTGCAGCTTTGGCACCTGTCCCGGAGCTTGCTTTGTAGGCTAGCCTTAACTCACAGAGATCCGCCCGCCTCTGGCTCCCCAGTGCTGAGATTAAAGGCCTGCGCAAACCATCGCCTGGTTCATTTTCTTAGATTTTGAAACAGGGTCTCACCAAGTTTTCTAGGCAGGCCTTGACCTGTCCTGGTCTCCTGAATATTAGGATTACAGGCAAGAGCCTGTAATCTCACAGTTTTTTTAAAAATGTGTACTGTGTGTTTATGATGTGTGGGTGTCACAGTGCGCACCTGGATGTAAGAGGACAGTTTTGTGATGTTTTCTCCTTCCATCTTCATGTGGGTTCTAGGAATTGAACTTGGGTCTCTAGGCATGCTCTAGCAAGTGCCTTTGCCCACTGAGCCCTCTACATAGTGAGACCTATCTGAGACCCTTCCTCCTGAAAAATAGACTTCCCAGCATAATACTTGCTCATTTGGGTACTGGGCTGTCTTTCCAGATACTGTGCTTTTGAGATTAATCCTTTCAATTTGTATAATTCAGGTATACCTACAATGCATCCATATAAAATAAGTACATTCCACAATTAATCTTTTCTCTTTTTCTTGATTCTAGATTCTTATTAATTCGTTTAAAAGAATTTTGTGGAGAATTTCTCAAGAAAAAACTTCATCTCTCAAATTGTGTGGCCATTCATAGCTTAGCCCACATGTATACCCTAAGCCAGCTTGCTCTGAAAGCTGCGGATATGATCCGGAGGAATTTCTATAAAGTCATTCAGGATGAAGAATTTTATACTTTACCTTTCCATCTCATTCGAGACTGGCTTTCAGACTTGGAAATTACCGTGGATTCTGAAGAGGTTCTTTTTGAAACGGTTTTGAAGTGGGTTCAGAGAAATGCTGAAGAAAGAGAGAGATACTTTGAAGAACTTTTTAAACTGCTTAGGTTGTCCCAGATGAAACCCACCTATCTTACCCGGCATGTCAAGCCAGAGCGGCTGGTGGCCAACAATGAAGTTTGCGTCAAGCTGGTGGCTGATGCAGTGGAGAGGCATGCACTCAGAGCAGAGAATATACAGTCTGGCACACTCCAGCATCCTGCTTCCCATGTCTCACTCTTACCTCGCTATGGACAAAACATGGACGTCATCATGGTTATTGGAGGTGTGTCAGAAGGAGGAGACTATTTAAGTGAATGTGTGGGGTATTTTGTTGATGAGGACAGATGGGTAAATCTGCCCCACATTCATAATCACCTTGATGGACATGCCGTTGCAGTAACAGAATCTTATGTGTATGTTGCTGGCTCGATGGAACCAGGATTTGCTAAAACGGTAGAAAGGTACAACCCAAACTTGAATACATGGGAACACGTTTGTAGTCTGATGACAAGAAAGCATTCTTTTGGGCTGACAGAAGTCAAAGGGAAGCTGTATAGCATTGGAGGACATGGCAATTTTAGCCCTGGCTTTAAAGATGTGACTGTTTACAATCCTGAGCTTGATAAATGGCACAACTTAGAATCAGCACCAAAGATTCTTCGAGATGTCAAAGCACTAGCCATTGAGGACCGGTTTGTGTACATTGCTGCCCGCACTCCCGTGGACCGGGACACTGAAGATGGATTGAAGGTTGTAATTACTTGCTATGATACAGAGACTCGACAGTGGAAAGATGTGGAATCTTTACCGCTTATTGACAATTACTGTTTTTTCCAGATGTCTGTGGTCAATTCAAACTTTTATCAGACAGCATCATGCTGTCCCAAGAGTTATTCTTTAGAAAACGAAGAGGCGGTAAGAAAGATTGCCGGTCAGGTATCTGATGAGATCCTTGAAAGCTTGCCTCCAGAAGTTCTTAGCATTGAAGGAGCAGCCATTTGCTATTACAAAGATGACGTCTTCATTATTGGAGGCTGGAAAAACAGCGATGACATTGACAAACAGTACCGGAAGGAAGCCTACCGATACTGTGCTGAGAGGCAGAGGTGGATGCTCCTCCCTCCCATGCCTCAGCCCCGGTGTAGGGCCACCGCTTGCCATGTCCGGATCCCCTACCGGTACTTGCATGGCACACAGAGATACCCTATGCCTCAAAACTTAATGTGGCAGAAGGACCGCATTAGACAGATGCAAGAGATACACCGGCATGCCCTGAACATGCGGAGAGTGCCAAGTTCCCAGATTGAATGCTGAACTCACCAACACTTACATCTGGAAACTGTTCTAACCCCTGTTCCATGAGGCTGGAGATGCCTGGACTGTTACTTGGAAAAGTATGTCAATAACTTATTTTCTACTTGGACTTACTACCCTATATAAAGGAAGTTAGTTGTTAAAAAACAAACGGGAAACTCAGTTTAGTGTGGTAATTTTTGTTAGCCTGCAGTCCTGTCTTTGTGTGCTGGCAAATAAGATCTTATTAAAGACAAGTGGGGGAAGCAGGTCTAGTTACGTGACCTTTTTTCTGCCAACAATTATAACTCCTTTGTTTTTGGGACGTACATGTGGGGCTTTAAGCACCAGTGTTATTTGCACATTTATTTTGATATTCCTTTACGTTTTGTGTGGATTTTTTTTTTCAGTGATACCAGTTTATTCATTAAGCTCTCATCTGCAGAAGGCATGTGCAATAGTGAGACTGGATGTAAAGGAAAAAGCACAATGTTTCAGCAAGCTGATCTCAGAATGATGGCGCTAATGTTTGTTGTATGTGTTTATCTACAAATGCTGTTTATGTTCATTGGAAAGGGTGACAATAAGAAGTTGGTGATTGGCATATCATCTGGTTTTTTGTTTTTTTCTGCAGCTGTTTATAGACTTGAAGCTATCATTCTGAGATGAGAATTAGGAAGATACTGATATTTAGCTGACTGACTAGAGAGGAAGTTACACAGGTAAAGTTTGTTTCTCTAAGAAAAAAAGTGTTGAGTGTAGCTGAGAAAGCAGGTGAACAAACATTTTGAAACACTTTGAAGAGTGACTGTTGATGAGGATGCGGCATGCCAGTGACAATCAACACGCGATGCCTTCAGTTCATTTTTTTCTCCCCTGAATATTATATAGATCTTCATCAGTTCTTTCCACAAGAAAAGCTTTCAAAATGGCAAGGAAATCAGGTTAGAAAATACTGCTAAGAGAAGCCATGTTATTTCTGGCTTCTGATTGTCAAAATATTTTACCGGATTGTCCTAGATTTTTTTTATTGAAACTTAGAGCCTAGAATACCAAATCTGAGTACATAGTTTTGGCTTTCACATAACACATTTATTTAGGAAACTGTCGATGTTAAATAATCAGTTCAATGATTGTCATCTTTCAGAAAAGGTTTTTAATCTGTACATATTTTATTATACTCCCTAAAGTAGTCTTTTTAATTTTTTGAGACAGGATCTCACTATGTAGCATTGGATGGCCTGAAACTCGCTAAGTAGACTAGGCTTTGACCATATATAGATCCAAGGACCAATAATCAGTTTCAGCAGCAGCTGTTTCTACCCTTTCTATTACAAGTTTTCTGGGTTTTTTTTGTTGTTGTTGTTGTTGTTGAGTTTCTGTTTAATGATATTGTACATTCACATTCCTTTAATTGTTCATACTAGAATTTTCTTGCTGTTATTCTAGAGCTCTCATATTCAAGATCTGTAATTTTCAGTTGCATTAGGAATATTATTGAGTCCCATTCTCTCTTAGTGTCTGCATATTCTTTGCTGCTTTCATCATTTTTGTGTATGGTATTGGAGGATTAGCTCTTCCCTTTACAGTGTCTTTTGAGCCTTGTGTATGTGTCATTCCTTTTGCACTATTTTTGATAATAAATCCCTTCTCAGTTTATTGAATTTTTTTTTTGGAATATATAGTTTCCCATTTTTCTTCAAGAGGCTGAATCTAATTTGTACTTAGTTTCTGAACTCCCTTGTGCAGGACTTTAATCTTGAAGAGCTCAACTTTAAGTTTATGTGAGTAATCCTGAGCATTGTACAACTTCTCTGTGAATCCTATCATCAAAGAAACATCATTATTTCTCTTTTGTTTTTCTTTTAATGCAAATCTCAAATTGCAGAGATTTTTTTCCCTCTCTCTTTGTACAGTCTGACCTATACTCTTGCTGGTTTTATGCAGAGATTTTTCCCTCTCTCTTTATACAGTCTGACCTGTAATCTTGGTGGATTTTTTTTTTTTAATACAAAGTCTTTATGTAGTGTTGGCTGACGTGGGACTCTCTAGATCAGGCTGGCCTAGAACTCCGTAGATCCACTTGCCTCTGTCTGGGACTAAAGGCATGACCCACCATGCTGGGCTTGATGGCTCTTTAGCACACTAATTTCATCTTCCACTTCAGTTTCTTTTATAAGTAGTTCATGGTGTCTAGTTTGTCTTTCATATAGATTGACTGTATCCAGGACCTTTAGGGGACATTAGCACAGTCCTCAGGTGCTGCTTCACCTATTAGGTCATAGGGGTCTTCCGTGGCTTTGCTTTTCTGACCTATACCTGTCTGCATCTTCCCCTTTGTAGCCTTCTTTCACCTGGTCTCTATTCATCTAAACTACAAGTCCCTTCACTTGCAGCATAGCAGTGATGAGCCTGGACTTCCTACACCTCTGTACTCAGAGGTTCCTGGAAGAGCTGGGTTTGGTTTGGTTTGGTTTTTTAATTTCCTCTTTTCTTTTATATTCAAGGCAGAACTTTTAACAGAAACTGCTGGTTATTGGTTCTCTATCCTTGTAGAGCTACTCTAGCATGGTCAGCAGCGTTGCTGGCACTGTGCTACAGGTCCTCTGTAATTTATTTCGTTTGTCATTCCTTCCAACCTAAAGGCAGATATCCTCACTCCCATCACATCTTTTCTGAACACTGCTCTGCTGGATTGACTTTGAGACTGTGAATATTCCTCATTCAGAAAGGATTTCCACATTGATTAAACATTGACAGCTCACCAGCACCATCTATTGCAGTCAATCCAAAGACATCTTGATTAATTTGTTGATTCATAATTGCATGCATGAGACTTCTGTTTATCAATTGTTGGTACATAAGCATTCTTAATAAGAATTCAGCTATAATTTTCACTGACAGCCAGTGTAAAGCCACCTTTTTTTTTTTTCTTGCTTCAGTGTTCACTTCATGTTCAAGGGTTTTTACAAGCTTGGAGAACACGGTTGCCTTGAGCATGCATATTTGGATCAGCACTGCTCTCTAGTAGAATAGAGGCATGTTCCCTTCTTGACATCATAGGGCCTTCATTAGACCTGTGCGGTCACCACTTCTGGATAGTCATGCACACAGGCCATATATAGAGCAGTGGGAGTATGGATAATTTTCAAAAAGTGGCATCACTGAAAAATTCCATCCTTATGGACTTTGACCTCAAGCAAGGAAATTACATCAAGGAATACCCATTTTTCTGACTTTCTTCACACTCTTGAGCATTATGCAAGTTAACATTCAAACTTAATCTTTCAATGCTCAGCTAACTCAGAAGACTCCTGTCTAGGGGCCTGGAGAGATGGATCAGCAGGCAAAAACACTTGCTGTTCTTCCAATGAGTTTGGTTCCCAGCTCCCACTTCAGGAAGCTCACAGGCCCCCTAACTCCACCTCCAGGGGATCTGATGCCTCTGGCCCTGTGGGCACCTGCATTCACATGGACATAATAACCACATGCAGACACAAGCACCTAATTAACTGAAAACAAAATTTTCAAATAGGTTCTTGTTGAAGTTGTGCATGGTAGTGCTCACCTATATCTGAGCATTTGGGAAGTAAGGGCAGGAAGATCCGGAGTTCTGAGCCAGCCTGTTTACTGCGCATAGTGAGACCCTGCATCCAGCCAAGCAACAGCAAAAGCATAATAATAATAACTATAAGTAATATAAAATAAAGACTCCTGGGCTGGAGAGATGGCTCAGAGGTTAAGAGCACTGGCTACTCTTCCAGAGGTCCTGAGTTCAATTCCCAGCAACCACATAGTGGCTCATAACCATCTATAGTGGGATCTGATGCCCTCTTCTGGCATAAAGGCATACATGAAGATAGAGCACTCATACATAAAATAAATAAATATAATCCTTTAAAAAAAAAAGACTCCTGATGGCTTGTACTATAAATCCAGTATTTTTTAAAATCTCTTTAAGAACGTCTTTACCTTCTCACACATTCTGTAATATCATTCTGGAAAAGTTCAAGAACAGTGATCTATGCCTTCCCCATTGCATTAGAGTTAACATTATTATGTGATAAAAATTATCAGAAGCACAACCAGAAATCTAGGCTATTTGCTGTGACACTAATACTATTGGATTCTGTACTGATAATTTTCTTGAAGTTTCTAAGGTAGTATTCTTGCTCAGGACGAGGGTTAATAACTATGTTGGAAATCTGCTTTACAACTATTGAAGTTAGACTGGAGTGAGTCTGGGAAACTGCAAGTAAATGATCTGTTGTTATTCTTTCCCTTAACTTTTTCTCAATTGCCATCCTTTGGGTTTCTTGAGGTTGGTGGTTTTTTACTGCTGGGAACTGAACACAGGGATTTGCACACGCTAGGGGACACTGCCGACTAGGTTGCTTCCCAGCCCACTCTGTAGTTACCTTAGTAACAAAAGCCTTTGGATTCTGAGAAGCACTCCTTAGTTATAAGTGGTCTGTGCAGCTTCCAGTCTTGAAGCTCATTGAAGGAAGCTTGCCTTCAACTCTCTGACCATACAAGAAAACCATTTAGTATTTCATCAGGATGCCAGCTTGCTCCAGGAGAAAGTCATGTATTTTGCTTTTGGCTTTTTGGTCCCAGAATTGTATTTTGGGACTGTTACCACCAAATTTTTAATAGGGCCATCTTTTTGTCCTTTATTCATTTTTGAACAGATAATATGACTCCTAAGATTTAGGTATAATCTGGTTTTAAAAACTTGATTGAAACCACTGTTTTTCTGATCAGCAGGCAGCCTAGGCCCTGGCTGAATGAAGGGGTAAGTCCTTCCTTGCATGATGGTGTGCAGGTTTTCCTGACTACCAAGTTTCTAATGTTCATATGTAAATTCACATGTGTGGCTTCACCACCATAACTTGTGTCTTCTAAATACTGTAACTAACTTGTCAGGAAGGAAAGAAACCAGATTTGCTTAAATCTGTTCACGGCTGACATTCTGAAATTCTAAACTGGACACAACAGTATTTATAATGATAATCATGCATGTTTAATATGGCTCTTTGTGAATGAAATGTCTTATGAAAACAGTTTAAAACATAGTTTAAATATATTCAAGTGAACCTTTTGTTGCTTTTTCTTTGTTAGAAAGGGAGGACTCAGTTACACCAAAAAGTAATGAGTGCCCATTACTTTGAGTAAGGCTGTTTCCACATCATAATGGGCCCCTCCCTTCCTATCTACATTTTAGATGGAAAATGTCAGTTGTGAGCTTAGTGTTTAAGCGATCATCACTTGCATGTATCCTGATAGCTTTGCTTTTCTGTGCTGGTTCAAAGTAACATTTTTGCTAAGAACACTTAAAATTAACTGACGGTAATTATGTTTTGATTACCTGGTTATGTGTAGTATTTCTGGGACCAAAAATTATTTTAAACTACTGAGCTTTTAAAATACAGACCCTCAGTCTGAAAAGCTACAGAGAGCACCTTTGTGTTCCAATCCTGTCAATAGCTGGTAGGCAGGTTCTTGTGCACACTTTTCCTCTCTGACTGTAGCATGTGGTGTGTTTGAAATACTTCCTTTTCTGCTTCTTGATTCCAGTGTCAACACTATAAGTAGACTGGAGCT